TTATTGTAGAGATGAGGTCTCACCAAGTTGCCCAGGCGGGTCTCAAACCCACGGGCTCAGGCAATCCACTCAACTCAGCCTCCCAAAGTGCTGGGATTACAGGCTGAGCCACCGAGCCCGGCTTTTTACTATTTTCAGTACCAACATTTGTTGAATACTTAACGATATGCCGGTCTCCATGTAACTGCCTTATATTCATTAGGTTATTTAATTCTTGTAATGACATTATCCTGTAATCACCATAATTTTAATAAAGTTCTCTAACAGTTAACTTAGTTTATCACCTTCTAATAAAACCACAGAAGATTAGTTGTTATGCAGTGATAAGAAATATACATACATATTTATCTTAACATTATAAAATTAAGAGCACCAACTTAAGCAGAATTTTAAAAAAATACAGTAGCCAATAGGTGTTGATATAAAGCATATCATTACATTTTTCCAGTTTTACAAAGCTTATTCCAATGTGCTAAAACATTTTAATGGAAATCTAAAATTTATTGGAACTTAATACCTTTCTTAAACAAAGTAGAGTGAACATACTTTAACATTTGATTTATAACATTTCTGTGAACACAATTTCTTACCCAAATTGAAATACAAACTTGTCTTTTTTTTATTGACTTTACTCTTGCAGGTAATGCATATGCCTACTTTTTATCACATTTTAACCTGTTGCTTTTAATTTGTTCTGTTATGGGAAATTAAATTATTAATGTTGCTAAATCATTTATAGCTTGAAAATGCATTTGATTAAAGGTCTAAGGACTTTTCCCAGAGATTGACAAGTACTTAGTACAAACTTATGCTACAGCATTTATCAAATATCATGATCGTTTTGAACCTCTGTTGATCTGAGTTTTCAGTAGACATTATTTTGTGCATTTTATCCCCAGCTTTTGATACAATTCCAGAACATGGTAGTTCCTCAGTAATATTATCACATTTGTAACTTCACACTACATTCATTTCATAAGATTCCATAATCTTCATAATTAAAATTTAATTTCCTCTATAAAAGTGTTTTTTTGTTTGTTTATTTTTTTGAGTTGAAGTCTCACTCTGTCGCCCAGACTGGAGGGCAGTGGCACACTCCTGGCCACTGCAGCCTTGACCTGCTGGGCTCCGGCGATCCTTCTGCCTCAGCCTTCCAAGTAGCCGGAACTACAGGCACGTGCTACCACGCCCAGCTAATTTTTTGAATTATTGTAGAAACAAGGTCTTGCCAAGTTGCCCGGGCTGGTCTTGAACCCGTGGGCTCAGGCAATCCACTGGCCTTGGCCTCCCAAAGTGCTGGAATTACAGGCCGAGCCAACAGGTCCAGCCCCTATAAAAGTGTTTTCATAAATATTTATTAAGGTATCATATCTAGCATATCAGAGAACAGAATCTGACCATATAATACAACATACTTTCCTTTAATCATTTTTTTATTATTGGTAATTCAGATTATTTCTAATTTTTAGCTATTAGAAACAATTATATATTAGGGCATATAACTTTTCCTTCCATTGCTACAACAAGCACCCAAAAACAGAACAAATATTCAAAGATCAGTAGGTATGAATACTTTTTTAACAACCTTAAATTCATTGCTAAATTGTTTTCCATAAAGGTTATACTGTGAATTTACAGGTTCATCAACACACTAATTTGTCAGAATTGAGTATTTATAATGCCTTAATTTTTTTTTTTTTTTTTTGAGTTGGAGTCTCAGTCACCCAGACTGGAGTGCAGTGGCCACTCCCGGCCACCGCAGCCTCGACCTGCTGGACTCCGGCAATCCTTCCGCCTCAGCCTTCCAAGTAGCTGGAACTACAGGCACACGCTACCATGCCCAGCTAATTTTTTATTTTATTGTAGAGATAAGGTCTCACCAAGTTGCCCAGGCGAGTCTCGAACCCGCGGGCTCAGGCAATTCACTCACCTCAGCCTCCCAAAGTGCTGGGATTACAGACTGAGCTACCAAGCCCGGCTAATGCCTTAATTTTTTATATATATATATATATATATATATATATATATATTTTATATATTTTTTTTTTTTTTTTTTTTGAGTTGGAGTCTCATTCTGTCGCCCAGACTGGAGTATAGTGGCCACTCCCGGCCACCGCAGCCTCGACCTGCTGGGCTCAGGCGATCGGAAACTTCTGCCTCAGCCTTCCAAGTAGCTGGGACTACAGGCGTGTGCTACCTTGCCTGGATAATTTTTTGATTTTTTTTTTTTTTGAGTCGGAATCTCACTCCGTCACCCAGGCTGGAGGGCAGTGGCACATTCATGGCTACCCCAGCGTGGTCCTGCTGGGCTCCAGCGATCCTTCCACCTCAGCCTTCCAAGTAGCCGGAACTACAGGTGTGCGCTACCACCCCCAGCTAATTTTTGATGTATTGTAGACACGAGGTCTCACCAAGTTGCCCAGGCTGGTCTCAAACCCGCAGGCTCAGGCAATCCACTCGCCTTGGCCTCCCAAATCCTGGCCTTTTATGAGTTTTCAACACACAGGTTACTTTTATTACTAAGATGTGATTGATTATAATACATCTACCAATTTAATATCAACATTTCAGAAGAAAAGAAACACTACTACAACTAATGTACACATTAATCATTAGACTGATCTTAATTTTAATATTTAAAAACCTTTTTTTATTTTGGTCAAATATGCAAAACATAAAATTTAACATTTCAACCATTTAAAAATTGTATAATTCGGTGGCGTTTATATTCATATTGTTATGCAGACATCACCACTACCCATCTCTAAAACTTTTTCATCATCCAAATTAAAATTCTGTACCCATTAAACTGTAACTCCCTATTACCCTCTGCATCTTTTGTTCTATTTCTGGCTCTATGACTTTGACTATTGAAGGTACTTCATTTAAGCAGAATTACACACTGGCTTATTTCACTTAGCGTAATGTTTTCAAGGTTTATTCATGTTGTAGCCTGTATCAGAATTTTATTCTTTCTCAAGGCTGAATAGCATTCCTCTGTGTGAATGTCTCTGGGTATGTGTATCCCACATTTTGTTTATTCATTAATTAATCAGTATTTGTTTCCATCTTTTGGCTATTGTGAATAATGCTGCTATGAACATGGTATACAAATATCTGTTCAACTTCCTGCTTTCAATTCTTTGGGTATGTACCTAGAAGTGAAATTGCTGGACCACATGGTAATTCTGTGTTTATTCTTTTAGGAATTGGAATACTGCTTTTACAGTAGCTGCACCATTTTACATTCCCACTAACAATACAAAAGGGTTCCAATTAGAACATAAACCAAAGGATATATGATATTTCTAATGTGGAAAACTATAGAAAGTAATATAACAGACAGCTGTGAACTAGCCACTTGAATTTTAACATTTTCTACACTTCAGTTACACCTAAAGCCTCCCACAGTTACTCTCCCTTTCTTCCTTCGGAGGTAACCTCTAACCTAAAAATGGCCATGTATCTTTCCTTGCATGTTTGGGTACTTTTTCTACATATGTATAAATCCATAAATAAGATATAGTATTTTGTATGTTTAACATTTTTACATAATCGCTGAATAAAGTATATATGTTTTTACAATTTGCTCTTTTATTCAAAATTATATTTTCTTAAAATTTTCAAGCTTCATTTAAGTGTAAATGAAGCTTTTACATACAAGAAAAGTCACTAATTTTCAGTGTACAGTTTGATGAATTTTCGTAATTGTTATGCAGCCATGTAACCACCACCACAATCAAGATATATAACATTTCCATCACTGCACAAAGTTTTCTCTTGTCCTTTTGTTTTTTGTTTGTTCGTTTTATCTCTGGTCCTTGATTCAGGATCTTGTCCTTTGTAGTTGATCCCCTTCTATGACCCTACCACAGGTAACCACTGATTTATTTTGTCATAGTTTTGCATTTTCCACAATTTTATATAAATAGAATCATGCGGAAATATAGTCTCTTGTTTTATACTTCTTTCCTTTACTATGCTTCTTCTTCTTCTTCTTTTTTTTTTTTTTTTTTTTTGCATTGGAGTCTCACTCTTGCCCAGACTGGAATGCAGTGGCACGCTCCCGGCCACCACAGCCTCAACCTGCTGGGCTCTGGAGATCCTTCTGCCTCAGCCTTCCAAGTAGCCACAACTAAAGGCTCACGCTACCACACCTGGCTAATTTTTTATTTATTGTAGAGATGAGGTCTCACCAAGTTGCCCGGGCTGGTCTCGAACCCATGGGTTCAAGCAATCCATTTGCCTTGGTCTCCCAAAGTGCTGGGATTACAGACTGAGCCACCAAACCCAGCTATTGTGCTTCTTTTACTTATGTTTTTAAGATTGATTTATTGTTGCATGTGTTAATATCTCATTTTTTAAATGGTTGAGTAGTATTCCACAGTAGGGATATGCCACAATCTGTTTCTACTTTCACCATTTGGTGAACATTTGCGTTGTTCCAATTTTTGACTATTATAAATATTGCTCTAGAGATTTGCATCCAAGTCTCTGTGTAGACATATGTTTTCATTTTTGGAGGGTAAATACCAAGGAGTGAAATTCCTGGGTCATATAGCAAGTACATGCTTAACTTTATAAGATACTACCAACTCTTACAAAATATCTGAACTAGCATGTTTGAGATTTATATCTATTAATGCAAGTAGATATTTTTCATTTAGCTGTTTTGTCTTATTATTTTATTAAATTATTTTTTATTAATTTTTTAAAAATATTTTAAAATATTTTTATTTCTTATTATTCTATTATAAAATAAATTATCCATTCTCCACTGCTTTACTATTACAAGTAATATTGCAATGGGCATATTTATAAATTATTTCCTCATGCATATGTAGAAGAGTTTCTCTATAGGTTACATCTATAATTGGAATTGCTGGATTTGGGGTATACTTATCTTCAGTTTTAATAGATATTGCCACATTACTTTGTTAAATGGTTGGGCATTTAACTTTTAAAGCTACTTTGCCTTCCGAATTACTTCAGACTTACTTTAATTATTTCTAAAGAGTTTTTCTTGTAAGTAGACATTTGTTTCTTTTTCTTGTAAGAGTGTTTCCTATACTTTTACATACTGTTATTACAGAGCTGTATATTTTCTTTTATCTTATTTTCTTTATTTTTTAAATAGGAGATTCATATGGGACATTGTGTAAATCTGACTGATGGGGCTGTAGAAGCTGTCCTTACTTATTGTCCTCAGATACGTATATTACTCTTCCATGGATGCCCCCTGATAACAGGTTAGTCTGATAGACTGCTTGGGTTTGAATTCTGACTTATCTTTTACTGGCTGTGAGACCTTGGGTAAATTACTTAACCCATTCCATTATTCAGTTTCCTCCTCTGTAAAACAGGCATAACGATAGTACCTACCTAATAGGCTTGGTCATGTTGATTTTCTGACAATTCTTTATATGGTACCTCACACATAGTAAGAACTCAATAAATGCTAATCAATGATGATTATGATGGTGATGGTGACGGTGTTGGTGTCCATAGTGGTTAGTGCTCAGTAAATGTTAGCTGTGATGATGATGCTGACAGCAGTGGTTGTGGTCATGATATTGAACATGATTCTTTATATAGACAATAAAAATATTTCAAGTTTATGGTGTTACATCTATTAAATATGCTAAATGACCTGTTACCTGTTATCAAACTATAGACATTGAGATCAGAATAGTTTGGACTCTTAGGCTAATGTGGCTCTTCACTGAAGGAGAACAAAGTAGCCATTGCCCATTTGGCCTGGGTAAGAGCCGTGATACTGTGTATCACCCTACCCCATAAACCATGGCACTTCACCCTTTCACGTACTCCTGTCATGTGTTCCATACCATAATATAAACTGGATCTCACCTGTAAATCAGTAGTTATGCCCAGTTCTTCCACCTCATTTCTTTAATTGCAGTCTAAACAATTATTCTCGAGGTCAAGTTACTATCAAGTCCCTTTGACAGCTTTTCTATCTTTTCATATGTTTTAGACTACCAGTCTTAACCAAGGCTGTAACCTTGGGTTATATTTGGGTATCCATGACATCTAAAGTGAAAATTAGACCTTATTGTAGGAAAAGACAAAAAGTTTCTAAAGAAACTAGAGCCAAAAGGGACACATAAGAAACCATTAACGGTGATTATGGCCGGGCTCGGTGACTCAGCCTGTAATCCCAGCACTTTGGGAGGCTGAGGCAAGTGGATTGCCTGAGCCCACAGGTTTGAGACCAGCCCAGGCAACTTGGCGAGACACATCTCTACAATAAATCAAAAAATTAGCCAGGCATGGTAGCACGTGCCCATAGTTCTGGCTACTTGGAAGGCTGAGGCGGAAGAATTGCCAGAGCCCAGCAGGTTTTGCTGGGGTGGCTGTGAGTGTGCCACTGCACTCCAGTCTGGGTGGGGGAGTGAGACTCCAACTAAAAAAAAAAAGTGATGATTATGTGGAAGGAAAAGAGTAGGAAAAACACTTTATACCTTTTTGCACCTTTTGAATTTTATATTATGTGGATGATTTTAATCTATTAAAAATTAATAATAGGGCAACCCCCTTGGGTCCCCTCCCACTGTGGAGCTTTTCTGTCCTCTCAATAAATCTTGCTTTAAAAAAAATTTGATAATAATAATGTGGGCCACATCTGTTCATAGGAAATAAAACATGCTTTAGACAATGAGAGTACAGGCATTTCCCAACCTCAGTCTCTCTTTAGCTGCCTGGACTCTCACCATAGCCTTTTTGCCCTTTGGTTTTCTTAGATGTGGCTCTGATATTAGTGTACTATGTCCCCCAACTGATCTCCTTAGAGCCCCTCTTATTAGGCTTGAAGGGAAGAGAAAGTACCCCCAGACCTCTATAAAACTCAAATCACGCTTGTCTTCAAAAAAGTCTCCATTCCCTTCTACTTTAACACTTTCATATTTTTGAAAGGGTGAGGTGCCATGGATTCCAAAATTTGTTTTTAGCCAAGCATTTGCAAGTCACGAACAGGTGGTCTGGTGTCTTATTTTGGAATAACAGAGTACCTGGTACCTCCAATCTTGAAATTATAGCTGAAAAGTTCTATTTTAATGTTCTCTTGTATTTTTCTCATTATAGCTTGGCTACACAACATATCAAATCAGGCTTTTCTAATTTTACTTGGTTGTTTTTCTGGCTATTATGTGGAATAATTAAATTGGCCTTTTCCCTCTACTTTTTTTTTTTTTTTTTTTGAGTCGCGGACTCACTCTGTCACCCAGGCTGGAATGCAGAGGCACAATCATAGCTCACTGCAGCCTTGACCTCCTGGGCTCAAGTGATCCTTCTGCCTCAGCCTCCTGAGTAGCTGGAACTAAAGGCACACACCACCACACACAGCTAATATTTTAATTTTTTTATAGAGATGAGGTCTTACTATGTTGCCTAGGCTGGTTCCATCTACTTTTAGTAGACTTCAAGTCAATAAAATATGTATACAATCAACTAAGAAAACTTACTCTTAGACAAATTGCTTAAAACAGTTGTCAAAGAACTTATGAGTAATGAAATCTTTTGTTGTTGTTGTTGTTGTTTTGCTTTGTTTTGAGTTGGAGTCTCACTCTGTCACCCAAACTGGAGTGCAATGGCCTCTCCTGGCCACCACAGCCTCGACCTGCTGGGCTCTGGCGATCCTTCCACCTCAGCCT